AATAACAGAAAAAAATTTCAGATCACTAAATTTTCCGGGTTGATGACATATTTTCACGTTTTAACCGCACGTTGTGGAGTGTCTGTTGTTGGTGTTGCTGAATATTTTGGAGGGGAACGGCGTCGAAGAAAAACTATTAATAATATCAGAGCTATAACGGCAACAAGTGCACCTGCAGCAATGATAATAATTAACATCCAATTCATTCTCTTTTTTGGTAATGGTGTTGATGCTTCATTAGTGCCAACTGCACTGGTGACTCCGGCCTTGTGATCATGCCCAGACGGACCCGGTTCTCCTGCTCCTTGTTGATCATTGTTTTGATCAACTGGTAACGTTGTACTTAATGTATCGTCAGCACTAATTGATGGTATCGGATGTATTTCATGGTGTGGTTGTCGTTCTAAAGCAAAAAAAGTACGTAGCCATAAGTAAATTTAAAAAAGATGTTTTTTATGCAAACCTCCGCTAGGTTGTCCAAAAGGTCCTTGGTCTGATGGATTTTCAGCAGAAGGCTCTTGACCCTGACCCCCTTGATCATTAGACAATGGTACAGTTGGAGTTGTAGATGTTTTAGTCTTTCTTCTTCTGGTTTTTGATGTTAATGTTTCATCAGCATAGATGTTAGGTTGATTTGTGGGTCGTGGTTGTGGATCCGCTCCTCCACCTACTTCAGGATCATACGAAATTGGAGAGCGAGGTTCGCCAAAAGATTGATTAGGATCTTGCAAGGGCTCCTGCTGTACAGCCGTCTGATATTTTCTGACATCATTTGGATTTGGTTGGTATGCTTGTGTATAAACTTTCGGTGAACGATGTTCTAATGCATTTGTGCCATCGGCACGTCGAATTTCCGGCGGTTTCTTGAATGTATTGGTATTGGTATCAAAATTATCACGAATAGTTTGACATGAAGATTGTGCACAATTTTCATTTAGTATACATGGCACTTGATTCGTTGCAGATTGTAAATAAGCAATAACACATGTACATGCAGGTCCATTTGGTGTTGCTTGTACGCTACAAACACAAAAGTAATTGGATGATAAACGGAAAATTTCTATTGACGCAGAACTCATTTATCAATCAACATGTGTGAAACGTGTCGCACATGATAAACTAAACATCTTAATTCTAAACTTAAAATCTGACAGTAAAATTTTCACCTTGAAGGTTTCTTTTTCAGCAGCTTGTCTTTTAGTCATGTGCAATGTATAAGATTTCAGAACATAGTCAAAGCTAACGTTTGCTAGAGAAGAAGAAACAATGTCCATCCAAATAGACAAAATGGCATGAACTAGTGTTTTTTATGATTTTGTTCTACGAGAAAGAAAAATCATATATATCGGTACTGTATCGGTATAAATTATTGAAGACTGGATGATTGATCTATCGATCGTTTACTTTTTTCATTTCCTATGAAAACTGAAAACTTACGCTAGTCGTCCTTGTGATAAACGTTGTGCATATTCACATTGTAAATCTGCGCCTAAATCTTCCAATCCACTAATTTCAATTTCTTTTAATGTTGGTATATTTTGTAATAATGCTGGATTTGGTGATGCATCTTTAATTATAATTTTTTCCAATTTATTTAAACCATTAAATGCATTTGGATCAATTTCTTTTGCTTGTACGGATAATGTATTGATATTTGGATAATCTTTGAATGCATCAGCTGGTATTGGTTCATTCGAAAAGACTCTCAATTCTGCTACATTATCATAATTTGGTGGATTTGGCGAATCAAATTTTGCTACATAATATGCATTTAATATAACTTCATGTGCTGGATACAATGGAAAATTTGTAGTATCAATAGAACTAGCTTGTTTGGCTACTTCTAGTCGACCAACATTTCCGGTAAATGGTTGATTTAAATCACTTTTAAGTTCTCCACCACTAATTCGTAAAGATTTTATATTTGAACCATCGAATAATTCTTGAAATGTACCACGAAACGCATATAAGCTATAGACTTCTAATGAATCAACATCTAAATTACGAAATAAATTGACATTATCTTCTGGTCGTGCATTTTGATTGTAGATTTCATATGCCATTGTTTTATGTATCTGTGTTTGGTCGGGAAAAACACGATTAAATAAACTTGGCTCAGCTAAACGTAAATGTGTAAAATTTTCAAATTTTATTCTAAAATCGATATGTCGTGCTGTTGGGGAATAAAGTTCTTTAATGGGTGCGAATGTTTGTCCATAAATGGTTGCCGAATCACTACCGATAACTAATTCAACAGCTGAATATTTATGCTGTTCATTTGGATTTATTGTTATTTGTTGAAGTGGTTGTGATGTAGAACATGTTACTTTAGTTTGACGACATACACATGTAAAGCCGTCAATGACATGACATGACATTACATCTGATTGCCGCCTTACAATATGACGTAAACTACGACTTAACGTTGGTGAACTCGATGTTAACATAAATGTGAATGTTAGAATAATTACAATGATGAATAATAAAGATGAGCCCATTATGTCTAAATAATTTTATGAACCTAGAAAGAAGATCAAACTAAATCATAATGTATCTTATACGATTGTAGAAATACCGTTAATTGATCTGTCATTTCTGGTGTAGATTCTGAAATTATTAGACCGGAGAGATAAGCTAAACTCTCATTCTAATTATATTAGTCTAACTGGATATGGTTCGATCTGGAATCTTATGATTTAACTTTAGAACTACAAGAACTTTTCGATCATTAATTGGAGGGAGAAATTAAAAACACCTGTAATGTCTACACTTTTAGGTAGTTTTACTATTACTGATACTCAACTGTATACCTAATCTCTAGCTTCAGCACGTAGGTTCTTTCAAACATATACAATAATGTTCTTTTCTGTTTATTATAAACTTCTCAAAGAGCATTTTCATTTCTTCGACATATTTTACCTGGATGAAGAAAATTAACTAAATAATTTTACTATATAAGGAGTATTTTGCTTATATATGTAATAAATACATACACACAAAAAAATTGACTATAAATAAATCCAATTTGACTATGACACTAATCTAGAATAGAAAAATAAAACAGAAATAATATCTCAATCATTTAATCAATCAATCAATCAATCGTAATTGAAATAAACAAAAATACTATTGTACATGAGGATTTCTTTTCAAGAGACTTACCACTTTATTTGTAATATGAAACTAAATCCGTTGTGCCTCACACGTTATTCTGCATACATGCGGAAGATTCTAATCCGAAAAAAAAGCACCGTTCTTAGCGTCGTTTGTTCTAGAAAAAAATGGACTTATCTGAAAAGTAAAAAAAAACATAAAAAAATAATTTAATCATTTACAAATGGTCAGTGATAGTATTTCAAAGATAAAATAAATAAAATCTAGTATCAATTGTATATAATATAATATAATATAATACTAGTTGATTCATTATCTACATTAGAAATTCTGACAGAGTGAAAAGAAGGCTAATCGGCCATATAAAAATGAGCAATTATAACAAGTAGTAAAATGGAGGTCAGCTATAGCCGAAACTAATATCAAATGAAAAAACGTTGTGCAAAAACATGTATTATATGGATAGTAAATAGATATGTATATGCGCTTATAATACCAATGATTTTCGCACATTTATGAATTTCAAGCATATGGTGCACACATACAGTGAGATAAAAAAAAAAAGAAAAACTGATGTAAAAAGCGATCGATTTTTCTTGCGATGGAGAGTTATATAATAAAAGATTAAAGATCATTTTTATTCTCCTGATTAACATACGTTTTAACAGTAATAATAGATTTACTTGACAAAATTTGATTTTGATATGTGAATTGAGAAAATTTTTGATGAACATGATCCTAACAATGTTTACATACTTAAAAGGATAACTTGAAAATTGAAAGTGTAACTTGTATTGATTGGCGAACAAAAAAAATGGATATTTGAACTCATCTTGCAAAAAAAGAAGAAAAAACACTGGAAACCTCATCGAACGTATTTAAATGACAGTTCTATAAAAAGCAAAGAATGCTAACTCGTGTACAGCGACTCTTATTAGTTTTTACAAAGGAATTGATACAAAACATGACTTTTTTCATAGTGAAAAATATAATTCCGTTGTAGAAAAAAAGAAACTGTTAATAAAGAAAATATCATGTAGATAATAACACAGCTAAAATCCTATACTTTGTTGCCATTACTGAAACCTATCGTGCTTATCATCTTTTTTTCAGATAACTTTCTTGGTGTTAGTAAAAAAGGATGCTGAGCAATTGATTCTAAAGTTTAATGATAAATTATCGAGACACTGATTTGAAAGAGAACATTAAATTAACATCAGACCTTCAACTGATCTGAAAGTGCACCATTACTATTTCTATTAAAAGTTGCACACAAATGGAGATAGTTTATTATATAGAATATAGTGAATTCTAGTTTCCTCCACATGAATCACATTATTAATTATCATGAAAAACACAAGAGATTATTTTTCTCTGTTTATATAGCTGATTAATTATATTATTATTGATTGATTATAATAATAAAATTTGAGTTTCTTTTTTTTTATCAACAACAATTTTCTACTAGCAAAATAATACTCACTCAACAACGTCGGAGGATATATCTATATGTGACAATGATTTATCATCATAGTCTATCTTGAACAATAAAGGCTACTAATTTTTCTTTCATATTTGTGTATGTATATACTTGGCAATGTAAAAAAAAGAAAGATTGTGTCCTTCGCACACATGTTCAATCATCGTTAAAAAGAAAATTGAAAATCGAAAAAAAGAATGTTCTGTTATACGCTCTTTTCCCACTTTTGAAAACAACTCACACAAAAATCTCGTAGTTGCATTGTCTTACTCTAGAACGTGTGTACATATATTTACATTATGGATGCTCGAGCGAGAGAGAGAGAGAGAGAGAGAGAGAGCAGAAAAAGGAGGTGAAAGAAGAAAAAGAAACGTACTCACAGAGGTATATACATATAAGAGATGTGGTTAAGCTTAAAATGAGTGTGAGTTTGCGGTTGCAAAAAAAAATGAGAAAAGAAAGAAATTATGCGTCGAAACGGACCGTACACTATATATATTTTTTTCTGTGGTCAGAATAACGCAATAGTAATAACTCTAAGTATACACAGATATCCACAAAAACTACATACATTTTTTTCTTTTTTTCCAGTACAATATCTTCACAGAATCACATGTATGCAAAAAAAAAAAATAAAACGAGAAGAACTCTAACACAGCGTCATCACTCGGGATTCATTTTTTTTGTATAGTGATAGTTCTGTATTCTTTTTTCCTTCTTTTAGTGCCACAAAGTTGGTTCTACAGCAGTGCAAGCGCTCAGTGTGCCGCATCGTATCATCTATATTTGTAGTGAACATCTACTATCTATATCATATCTTCTCACATATATAAAGAAATTTTTTATTTTGTTTTTGTGGGTCATTGATAATGGTCTTCAAGAGATAACAAGAAGCATTTAAATAGTGAACCTGCAAGAAAAGAAAAAAGATATGAACAAAAATATAGATGAAAAACAAGCGTGCGTACACATTCATTCAATTTTGGAAGAAATACAGATGGATATGTGTAAATGAAAACAATAAATGTTTATTATTACAAAATTAAATGTTTATAGATATGAAGAGAGATAAATATATATATATATATATATATATATACCAAAGACGATTTAGAACAGACGTAAAAGCTTGATGAAATCTCTTGATATATACAAAAGTTTTTTTTAAACAAGGAGCCATATATATAGTTTGAGGACAAGTACTGTCAAGCATTCATACCGTTTCAAGCCTAGTTAATAGTTTTTCACTTTAATAAAAGTTTTTACNTTTTTTTTAAACAAGGAGCCATATATATAGTTTGAGGACAAGTACTGTCAAGCATTCATACCGTTTCAAGCCTAGTTAATAGTTTTTCACTTTAATAAAAGTTTTTACTATTTCCAAACCTTATTCACTATGACAAACCAGTGCGAAGTTCTACAAATGATACTAAAGGATATAACTATTTTAAGGTGCTAATTTAGCCGAAAATCAGATACGAGTAAAAATAGTTATACTAAACATCCTATATTCTGACAACCTATACATATCTGTAACAATAATGACTTCAAATAAATATCACTCTCTCCAGTCCTTGGTTGCAGAATCAATAACAATAATTACATAAAAAAAGTGATTTTATATTCCAAGGGTATATCTGACAATTGTTTGGACTAATTGAGCAGATTATGTCAGTTATTGTCTTTATGATACTAGACAAATTAAGGATAAATAAGATCTTCCATCGTCACGCATAAATTAAAAACATAGATAAATAAGTACACTGTAATGTAGAATCTTTTATACTAGATCCAAAAGAAATACATGTAGTACGTTTCAAAATGAGGCGTCAGCTGCATATGAAAAATATTTTTTTCCATGCTTCAACCTTTCAACATCAAATAGTAAAAGATAACATTAACAAAACTTATTAGAAGTAGGAATTCGAGTGATGACCTGTTAGACAAAGCTCTAATCGACAAGTGTACCTTATAGTGTCTGTTTATTGACAAATTCACATGATGTAAGTATATTGAACAGTAAATGGCAATCAAATCATATTATATTTCATTTCTGATAACCATAGTGCTCACTATCTATAAGCATACTATTTTAACGACAAAAAACAACTATGGCTTTGTATATCATCTATTATGAGCAATATACTTCGTGAAAAATCAATGGGACCTGTTGTCGTACAGTCTTCTATTCTAAAAAAGAATAGAGGAATATTGACGATTATTATTATGAAATAATAAATTCGGAGAAACCCAATTTTTATCTTGTAGAGACGCGTATATACTGAAAAATTGCGTTATTTTGTTTTCTGATGTCACTACACATTTAATAATATATATCTACACACTCGGACTCGCAGATGTATAACAAACAAAGTCTTTCATAAATAAATATATATAATTATCGGACATATGGGTGTTTATTTCAACATATGTAGAACACTCTGATATCTTCAGTTGAATATCAGTATAATATGGCAACACGGGTTTACGTTTTAAAGTTTCTCTTAGGAAATATTGTTAACTAACTCTGTATGAATAAATTTAGTTCAAAAGTAAAATAACGATGAAATAGATAGAATAAACATCCAAGAAAAGAACTATAGAAACTGATATTTTAGGAAAGGATATGTAAGACTTCCTGGTATAGTTTCACCTATTGTTAACATACCATATCGTATTGCGTGATCCATAGTCGACTTTCGAAAAAAACCGAGCAAATGATTACACGAATGCGCGTGATAATATTCCGAGTGTCTAATGAGACTGTAACACTAACAGAGAGATGAAAAGAAAAAATGATGTAGAAGAAAGGCAAAAGTATTGCATGTTGATGAATCGCCTGTGGAGCCGTAG